CAGGGTTTGTACACCCTGTCTTGACTTCCATTGACCCAGTACAATCTGCCACGCTACTGCTTATTAAATGAGGAAGTCGGACGACTGGCCTAAGAGATCTCCTTTTGTTTTGCAAGAGGGAAAGATGGGTCTGATAGCAACTGAATGAGGTTATTCTGTGCTTCAAAGAAAAATAAAAGAGGCTCAATGACTGAAAGCAGGTCAACTGAATATGGTTAAGTAAACCCTTATTACATTAATTTCTTGTGTAGAATTTTCCTTATGTGGGTGTGATAACCCCAGGAAGAAATACTAACATAGATTATGTTCTCAGAGGAAAAAAATGCCTTTCAATATATTTTTAGAGGCCAAATTTCATGTTATTGCTGATAACACAATGAGAATCCACTTGAGAGAGGTTCTCTTAACAGCCATGTCTATATTTTAATAGCATCTTATGTTTTGAATATTTACAAGAAAACCACAGAATGTACTTAAGATACAGATATATCCGAAGATTTGGCTTGAGTAATCATCTCTTACAGTGAGACATCTCACCTACTTTCCATCCATTATCACAATTATGTGTCATTCAGTTACTCAAAATCAGCAATCAGCATCATCAGCCCCAATCTCTGTCCCATCCTCAGTGAACTGACTACTTCTAAATCCAGACATCTTGCATTCAAATCCACTGGATGGCAAAATCTTAGTAATCTTTTTAGAGAACAGCAATTAAATATGAATTAAGAACAGTAGATGGCTATTTACAGAAATCTTTTAATGTGTAAAACAGAAAAGACAGGAGAGCACAGGTAGAACACAGCTAAGAAAATGCAGAAAGGAATACAACACAAAGATTAATCTAAAAAGTGTTTTAAAACTGTTAGACAGAGAAGAATAGCAAGAAAATGTCATTGAGTTGTTTTGGTTGATAGTTTTCAAATTGATTGAGATTGTTCTCATTGAGTATATACAGGGAAAGAAAAGAGTGTGAAGCCAAAACCTTTTAGAAAATTGGAGCAAAGACATGGTACCAAAAGTTTGGAAAGAAAAGAAAAATCTGTTAACATACAAAGAAATAGAATCACACTAATCACAATCCCAGCAGACTTCTCAAAAGCAGTTGAAGAAGATAAATGACACTGGAAGAGTAATTTCAATATTTTGAGCCAATTTATTTTTCTACTACCGTCTTAAAACTTAAGATCTGGTTAGAATAAAGACATTTTGGTTTGGAACGTGCTCCAAGTTCCAGTGGAGCAAAAAGCAAGGGACTAAAGAATTAGATATAGGATGCAGAAAGTAAGGATCAAACGTTAAAAAGAAGAAAGAAAAAATCAAGAAGAAGTTTCTGGAACAGATCTAATGCACATTCCAGTTAGATCCGGCAGCAAGCCTGGGGGCGCCAGAAAGTCATAGTAAGGAGGAGAAATTAATCACTAAGTGAAATATAGCATTTAGGAGATTTTCAAGAATTTGTGATGTGTAGAAAAACACAGGTCTATGAAAAAAATCAGCTATTATAAATTCACAGAACAATTTCAGTATCAGAACTCTAATTAAAACAGTATAAAACTCAGTACATGATTGATAACATTTACAGTTATAATATGTTACTGAATATTAATAACACCCAATGATTCTAAAATGAGTTTACTAGAAATAATGAGTCAAGGAATAGAGTAAGCTCAAGATAAGAAGGTAAAAAAGGAGGTATAAGTGGGCAAGAAATCATCTTCTGAAATATAAAGTAAAACAAAATATAGTTACATCAGTAAATACGAGAATTAGCACACTTGTGGAAATACAGAAATGAATACTAGAAGCAAAGGATAAAACAGATTTTTAAATATGTTCAAAGTGGAGGCACATATACACGTGTGTGTGTTGGAAAACTGGTGCATAGTATCTTTGTATTTTGTTATGCTTTATAACACCAATGATATATATTAGAATTTGTGTATATATATATATATATATATATATATATATAAATCTGCTTTTATGTATCACTTTAATAAAGATTTAAAATTATAGGAAATATTTACACGTTATTTTTAATCATTTAACAATTCTTAACCTTTGCATAGAAAACATTTGAAATCAAACCACTTTTAAAATTTTCATGGTGTTCAGTGCTTTAATTCTAGTTTCAATTACTTTGAGATCTATGGAATTAAACATATAATCTCTAAAGTGGTGTTCTTTATGCATTTATAGACTGTACTATATATTTTACTGTCATTTAAACCATGATAAATGTATTTTTATATTTGATAGTAGCTGTTTCATAAGAATGTTCATGGACAAAAGCCATCACAGAAGAACAAGGAAAATATGTAATTCATGGAGTATGACACAGGCACTTTTTGAAAATTAGATTACATTCATTGTGTCTTGTCAAAAGGGAACCATTTACAATCTAAAGAAAAAGTTCAAGTACTTCTAAGTTCAAGCATATTTAATAAAGTAGCAGAATATTTGAAGAAAGGAGAAAGTTTTCAAGCAGTTTGTCTCAGTATAGATGACTATGGTATAAGAAAAATAACATTTATTCCTTTCTTTGTCCTTGCAAATTATAAACTATTAAATATTTGAGGAAGTCAGCACTGTCAGTGGCTTTATATGTACAATGAGTTGCGAAGGGCATTCAAAACCCTCTGGCACACAGTGGTTATGGTACTCAGATAGTGGAATTATGTCACATGAAAATAAAATAGAGGTACAGTATGAAGTGTAATCAGATTTGTAAACATTAGACAAGCAGTGATAATATTTAACAATGGTGTAATCTGAAGAGGTTTGTTAGAAAGTATGTCCTAGAGGTAAGAGCACCAAAATGAAACGAAGGTTTCATTTTGAAGACCACACTGTTTATGTCATATTTTCTTAACAATAGGGAGTCAAGGGAAAGAAAGGATTTTCAAATAGCAAGAGGCACAATAGTAACCATTTTAGATCACCTGATATTCTATTTTTACATCATGTACTATGCCCATCCTTTTGTTCTAACCGACTCTGTTTTGTTTAGCCATGTTAGGTTTTATTCTCTCCAAAAAATAATAAGAATTGTGGGAGTAAAAAACCCAAAAAAGTGTAATTGTTAATAAAAAGAGAGGAAAGGAAGGTGGTCTAAGGGATATAACTGCATGCATGTTTAAGTGTGTAAGATGGAAATCCATATTACTGAACTTGCGTTGGATCACTGATCGGCACTGTGTGCAATCTCGTTGTATGGATGTTCACTTTAGATGTTTTAATTTTATAACTTGGACAACTATTTCAAAGATGACAATATGTAACCTATTAACTAGTGATACCTTACTGTATTTGTTTCCATGAAATTCTGTATTATTTGTACCCTTTTACTGCTTTGTTTTTTAAAATTTTATTTCCTTTCTTTTTTCTTTTTCTCTTTAACTAATAAAAAGAAAAAGAAAGAAAGGATTTTCACTATACATTATTTGTCACATTCATATTTGGACTATTTCTTCTATATTTTTATTTTTCTTCTGAGTTTGGATGTTGTTTCCTTATGAATGGTGGAACTGGTGTCTTTTCCTTAACATAATATTTTTCCTCAATTTGTAACACCTCAGGTGAGTTGAGTAGTTTATACCAATAGATAAATGTTTCTCGGGTTCCTAAATCAATTCTTCCAGAGGAACTGCCTCTAGATAAATTCAATCTCTTTGGTTGATAGCTATGTTCAAAATAATTTAGAAGTTGCCCCATAACTCCTGACATGTTTAGGGGTCTCCTCTAGTTCTCATCATGCCTTTAGGGAAAGAAGGGTAAATATTTCATAATCCAGACACATTATTGGTAAGTCTAATTGCTTGAGTGATAACTTAAAAGCTTTCAGTTTCCTTCTGAAGGCAATACAGCACAGTGTTTTTCTAATCCAAAGCTTATGGCAGTTACAGAAAAATTGCAATGTTTCTTTAAATAGAAGAGCTATACTTGTGGGCCTTCATTGCTAATGTTCAGTGACCACTGATTTCCTATCTTATCTGGCAAAACTGTACTTTATTCATTGGAGGGTAGAGTATATCATGAGTCTCTTAAGAGATAACTGCATTAAATTTAGGGGCAAACTGATACTTGTCTGAGCTCTGCAGGACAGAAATTTACATGCATACTTGGAATAATTTTATTTTTACTATTCAATTCTTTTAATGAATTACAGGATTTTTCCTAGCTTTGCATTTTGACTTCAAGCTGCTTAGTATCTACAGGGAGTATTACCAGAGATTATATAGTACTCAGAGTGATTGAAAAGAGAAGCCTACACTCTGGTACATATTCATAAAGTGCAACCTTGCCTCTTGAAATATAATGGAAATCACAATAAACCTCTTTCCTTAAAGGCATTTGCATGATCTCCTCCAAAACTGCAAAAGAAGTTTCTTTAGGGACCTGCACAGGACTCAGAGGCTGTCCTTGTGCATGTCTTGGAGTAATGATCACAAACAGGAATAGTACCATATCATGCATAGAGTCAGGGGATTATTTTATTGGCCTAGAAAAGTCACTTAAAATCACAATCCTCCCTTGAAACTTAAGGAAATCACATAATATCTGTGATAGTGAAAGCTTCCACTAAGCTATGACTGTACACACACATATCTATGTATGCATATGAATATATATATTCATATATATATATATATATATATATATATATATATAACAAGTGGATCGAGGTGGAACGAGCAATGCATCTTAGATGGAGATAATATTTGAAACAGATTTGAGCAAGCAATTTTTTACATATTGACCAAAGGTGAAATATTTTAACTATAACAATAAAGTTAGAGAACTAATGTTTTTTTTTTTCATAAACTTAGTTTTTCTTCAGACAAAGACTAGACAATTCTAATTGGTTATTGATTCTGAAAAATAATGAGCAATTGTTCATAAATGGTCTGGTTATAGCGTTAAAACGTCTTAAAACAAAGGAAGAGTGGATCATAAACAGTAATTATAACAATTTATAATTCTAAAGAGAGTTTTACCGAAGACAGTTAGCTCTGCGGGGTCACTGTCTCTTTCTCCCACCATGTTGGTGCCCACACAGGTGTACATTCCCGCATCACTCTTCCTTGTATTGGAGATCATCAGTTTCCCACCACGAATCTGTTAAAAATTAAACAAAAAGTAAAGGGAAAGGAAAAGAAACAGGAAAGAGAAAGTAAAAGCCATTAATTTTGAATATTAAAACATACTTTCTTTCCAAAAGACAGCAGCTATATCTAAGACTCAAGCCACACTTAGGACTTAAGCATCTGCAGAAAATATTTTGTGAATACAGCCTCAGTGTGAGTCTCTGTGTTAGAGAATGATTCCTTACAATACTCTTTCTTTTTTTTTTTTTTTAATACTCTTCCTATCTCTTGTTTGGTTATACTTTTAATCAAATGACAGTCTTGAATAAACCCTAAGAATCTGTCTTCATGCTGAGATGTTGTTGAATGAATTGCTATTTTCATCTGTCATCAGAAAGGTATAAGAGATATTTGCATTGGATAATATAGTGGAAAGCACCTGAAATGAATTCACCAAGCACTCATTGAACATATATAGGGCCAGACAGTATGCCAGGCATTCACTGTATGGTAGCAAGCTAAATAAATGAAAATCTATGCTTTTGTAAGCTTTATATTTCAATTGATAATGTTAATCAACTTTGTTTATCTTGATTGTAATTAAGAAATAATGTAATTAAGAGTAAAGATTGGATAAAACAAATGAACTTACAAAATATTCATTCTGATTATGGGTGCCAGTGTGAGTTGATACAAATCATAGACATGAATAAGTGTTCTCTGAATAAATATTTCTTAAATGAGAAGCATTTGAGTTAATCAACGAAGGTGATAGTATAAAAATGTCTGCTAAAGGGAAAATTAAATCACAATTATTTTTAGGTGAATGAATAAAGACACTGATTTCTATTAGTTTTTAAAAAGTCAATCTATGTAACATTCTCAACTGTACAATATCTGAGCATTCTTAGTCATGAGAAAAGAACATACTGATTCATCTACTTTTTAAAATTTCATAGGTAAACAAATCTCAGGTTTGTTTGTTCTTATCAACAATACATAACTTTGGTGAAATTTGCCATGTAATAGAAAAATATTTTCAATTGCTTTTTTGACATGAGAAGAAAATATTATCAATGCATCCTCATTTAAATCCAGTATGTTATAATGGTAACTTATAAAACTGGTCATGGGTTTCATTTCTCCTCCTTTTGAAATTGCATTTGACGGTTATCTCTTGATTTGACCAAGTAAATTTTTCACTTGAAAAAAAAAAAAAGGTGTTTACACATGTGGATTTGCCTTCTTTTGTTGCAGCTGGACCCTGAGACCATGGGGCCATCCTGAACTGCTCAACTGAAAAATCAGAAATAATAGGTAGAAAGACTGAGGTATCTGCTTGTGAGTCAGCTCATTTCCAGATGTAGGTAAGGTATGCTACATCATTCAGCTGCTCTTCTACATGTAAACAAGCCCTGGGCCATGAGAAAGTCTAGCAGAGACCAAACAAGCTGATCAGGAAAGAACTATCAGCTTTCTTAAAGAATCATGGTCTCAGTCAAATTATTTCCATAAACTATGTAACTTTGGGGTGGCTTGTTACAGAGAAAAAGCCAGATAACACTTTGTCTTATGTTTGATACCCAACTTTGGACCATTCAAATGAAATTATCTTTGGGAATGTGAATCCTCACAATGTTAACTGTGATAGCCAAAATATATTAATACATTTTGTGATCTCTTACATGACATAGCAGTTCTGTGTTATACCATAATCTCAATGAACATAGGAAAATCATCATTTACAATAAACATTTTCAAAGATAAGACTCAAATTATGTGAACTTTTAATCAAAATAACACATTTACTCAGTCAAATAAGAAATTACTTGAAAGAAAATATATTTATTTTCAGATATTATATTAACAATAAAAATTTTACTACCAAACATCAGAAGATATTTTCTATTTCAGTAGGTAAGTTCTTACATATAAATTTTACATGCAAACATTAAGTGTATCTACTAAAAAATAAAAAAAGATTGCATGTTATTCTCCTGTTCTGCTTTATTATCACTTTCTGGTTGTCTTATTTTGATTCATAAATCAATTGATGAATTTGAAAGATATTTTCTTACCTGAACTAAATTGCAGAATCAGTCAGTTTTATTGATAATTTACTTATCTCTTTTAAATTTACTTTTGAATTAATTTATACATAAATTTGTGATAAGTATTATTTAATTGGAAGAACTAGAATTAGTGAGTTCATCACCTCGAATTATCTCCTATATAATTTTGAAAACCATGCAAATTGAGAGGCACTTAATATGCTCATGGATATTATTTATACTTTAACAGTATAGAAGCCTTTGGAGACTTAAAAAAATCAAAGGCATCAATATCATACTGCAAAGGTATATTTACATATTCAGAGTGGTACAATTATCAGCATATCATGTAGATCTTATTTGTATAACTTGCCTTTGAAGCCTTATTTCAGCTTATTTTTTAATTTCATAGAAAAAAGTAGAGCAAACTTTCATAACCAAATAATAGATTAACAATAGTTAATATATTGAAATTGTTATCTTCCAAGCAGTTACTTCAAAACAGTTTTTAGAGTCCTTTCAAAAATGTCTCAAAGAGCAACCCGCGTTAAGTACAATTTTATTAACAATTAATACATAATAAAATATGTATTCATATTTAATTCATATATGTAGAATTCAAACTTCTTAGACTTTCAATTCAGTGTAACTCACACTTATTCTTTCTTCTTTGTCATCAATTCGCACTTTGTCTTTTTTCCAGTAGATGGTGGGTTCGGGGTGTCCCCGTGGGGGCTGGCACTCCAAGATAGCAGGCTCTCCAGCTGCCACTACCACGTCAGTGGGGTTTTGCCGGAAGTCATCTCGCAACACTGAAGGAAAATGATTAGAACAAAAGAAAATTCAATTTCAACAACATCAGAGTTCTCTTACAAAAAGTAACTTCAAATGTTACTTTTTCTAGTAAAGCACTGCTTGATGTATACTGGGATCATAGTCATGGCTGTCTTAAGGTATTTTAGAGCCAGTATATAAGTTTATTAATAGAAGAATGAATGGTACATGGTCATGTACTTTTGCTGAAAAATCCAGTTTTAGTATTGAGATGAGTTTGAGTCTCAGGACAAACAGACAACAAATATTTACAATATAGTTTCAGATTTAATTAAAACTAAGACACAGAAAAAATTTATGTACTATATTATCTTTTTATAAAGGAAGGACATGCAACATTTAGGTCATAGATAAATTCAAATAAATGTTAAAGATATATTAAAACCTGAGGCAAGTCATGCACAGAAGTTTGTGAGCATTTGTTCATTTCAGTCCCTGGGGAAAGTAGAGTGAACGCTTCATGAGAAAGGCCTTTCTCACGTACAAATAAGGACAGGAGCCGCACTGCTTTCATTACACCTCAGAAGACAAACTCATTGTTCACCCTTACAATGCCCTAGCACCCACATACACAGGGCTATATTTTCATTCTCTCTGTTTCTCTACCTGCCAAGTGACATCTGGGCAGCGTGACATTCAGAGCAGAGATACCCCTTATAGCACTGTTGCCAGTCTGAATTTCCCCCTCCTTTCATTAAGGAGAACAGCAGGTTAGACCTCCGTGGTAACCTCCAAAAATCTGGCATGCCTAGCTCTCCAAATGTCACCTATCTATCACCATTTGCTTTCTGCTGCTGGCAAACTTAAAAGCCTGGGAAAGCAACGTGGGGCCTTATCATATTGCAGAAAGGTTGGGTTGTTTGGCAAATAACAGCTATGACTATTTGAAGATGAACATCCAAAGAAGTAGAGACCAAGTAATATACCATATTTTCTGGCTACCTCTCTCTGCCTTTGTACTGCCTTCACTTTTTTTTATTTGACATGCCTGCAAAAGAGAACCACAATTAGGGTAAAACAAACCTGCATGTATCTGTGTATACATGCCCATATGTTTATATATATATATATATATATATATATATATATATATATAGTATGTGTATGTCTGTTTGGTCTGTGCCAACGTGTAAATTAGTGTGTTTATAGGATGGTCTGTGTGTATGAATACATGTGTGCACAGGCTGAATTTAGCATTAAGTGGCTTGTGCTTGCCTGTTATGTAAATTGTCTCCTGCAAATGGGGATTAGGTCAAACCAACTGCCTTTTCTGTCTTGTAATGAGACCCATGTCAGCACTATTTCTTTGTTGTGAAAAGTCTCTAGGTTAATTGTCATTCTCCAAATAAATAAAAATCTCTGTCCTAAAAAATAGCTCTAGAGATTCAACTGAATGGCTATTAGGGCTTTTTTCTCTTTTCTCTTCTAACACATCCTTTAACATGGTTTTCTGTCTTAATGAAGTCTTGGTGCTTTGTAAGATAAGACAAACTTGTTTCTTACTGAAGAAGCAGTAAAAGAGAATTCAGCACAAATTGTTCACTCTCAGCTTATAAACTGATTAATCGACTGCTTTTGGTGCTAAGAAAATGTGTTCCACTTTAGCACTGTGAACTGCACATTTTGGGTCCTCTTGTTTAACTGGCAAGCAAGGTGTGATTTATATGCATGAGGGTTTGCTTCTGAATTGGCTTAGAGAAGTAAGCATTTCAATGTGACACTCACGCAAGTGATCAGAAGGGGTTAACACTATGGTTTCCTTTTGCAGTTATGTTCTCCAGGGAGAACAAGCTGGTGACTAATTTATATTCTAAATAAAGAACAGCTGCCTGTTTATGCAACGTTAAGAAGTGCAAAAATATGGTAACAGGGTGATGAACCCCCCCTACAATATCCGGTACTGGCAACAAATGGTGTTTTGGCAGACCTTCAATCTGTTCCAAAATGGCACATCTGGTTAGTTGAAGGGCCTTATCCAGAACTGGTCGCCTAACAAATGACATGCCAAAAACCCTTAGCTCAAACCCTTAGCTTAAGACCACTGCAAATCATTCAGAGATGAACTGTTACTCTGAATTGCAATGATACAAATTAAAAGAAAAAAAAAGGACCTTTAACAGGAGGAAAAAAGATGAAATATATCATAACAAACTACCCTTAAACAATATAACTTGTGTTTATGCATTCACCACAAAAGGGAAAATGACTCCAATTTGCACATGGAGCCAAGAAATCTAACATCAACTATAATTTTAGGCTTTCAGACTATTCACTCCAGAGTAGGGTGAGATAATGGTATAATTGGTACTGTACCCTCTGCAACTTGTAATATGCTCTTTCAGGTCTGTATATAACTCAGATCATTCATTTGCTCTTAGTGACCGTTTCATTTACTCTAAGTCTTGGGGTAAAATATGTTTTTTTCTCTTCTCAAATTAGAACCTTCAGGAGAAAAATAATATGATAATAATCCTTTTGATTATAAAATACCATGACTTTCATTTTTTTTCGGTCTGTCTGTCTCTTGCTTTTCAAGTACTTCGCCTGACATCTTATAAGATGGAGACATTCTGTATCTCCCAGTCAACACCAGCAAGAAAAACTGAGGTCATCATTTCAACGGCTCTTAAGGATCCAAATTGCTACTGAGTTTTGTGGCAATTTGTATAAAGAAAGATGCAATTTTTAGATCTTAAGTTTTTGTTTCTTGCATCATCAGAACCCCACATTCTTTTGCTTCCAAACCCTCTCCATCAGTCATACATCACTAGTTTTCCAGGATTTGATGCTCAGTTGAAGTGAGTCATTACTCATAAAGTCCCATTTTATTTTATTAAAATAAATTAGAAATCAACAGTGAGGTGAACTGTACAAAAAATAGGGCTTTTGAAAGAAACAACAGTGATTTCAAAAACTTCTGAATCATGGTGTACAAGGTATTTTAGTGAAGTTATTAAAAATGTAAAGCCTACACATTATTGATAAAAGTATTCATGCACACCATTGCATAAAGAAAACCATCTTAAACAAACTAAATTGGCTGTGAGAAAGGTAATTTAAAAACAAATTATAATGTCAAGCATGACTAGCAGCAGTTAAAAACTAAAGGAAACTATAAGAACTCTGATCACCAGGCTCCTTATCTTGCAGAATGTGTGAGTATGTATATGTGTGTGCCTGTGTGTATTTGTGTGTGTTTTTGATTTGTATAACCTTGCGATACTGCCACATTCAGGTTTTTCAAGAGAAAATTGAATTTGAGTCCCAAGCAGATACTTACCTGGTGCACACTTCAGTTTATTAACATAAAATTTCAATAAGTCATGACACAAGAATACATTGGAACTTCCTGTCTTAACAGATAGATTTTACATAAAATTATGTACTGGCTTTCCTTAAGAATGGGAATTGATCCAAGTTTTCCTCTACCACTGAGCTTTCACGTTTCCTGAATTGTTTTTTGTTTGTTTGTTTTTGACCAGTTAGCAGGCACACATGAAAAAGTACTTTTGCTCTCTATTTTAAAAATAACTGCCCCAGAATGAGGGTCAAAACTTGCCAAATATGCAATATACTCCAAATGCATAGTCACGGATAGGTAGTAGGTCATTTGAACCTCATTATTGTATTCTTTGAAACCAGTGTGTCTAACTAGGCACATTACTATGCTACCCTGTCATGCAACATCATTGCTTCTAATTGTATTGTCCCCACTGTCTTAGTTCAAAATGTTCTTTTATCTTCTTGTTTGTCCCTTTTTTCTGAATTCATTGTAGCTGTTATGAGTTTGCTAAAATGAAAGTATGATCAGATCATTTCTCAAGCTTCATAATGATTCTCAGACTAACAATTCTATCTGTAATATGACTGCAGATGCTTTCAGAGTTGGGTCTGTGCTTGTATCTCTAGGCTTATCACAGGTATTTTTTCTATGCTCATAAATTAAGAATATACATGAACAACTAATTATCACTGTACATGATTTTCTAATGTCCTTTTTCCTGAAAAATGTCTCCTGATTCCAAATGTTCCCTTAAATTTGCTTATTCTTTTTCTTAAAGTATAGCCAATGTCAGTTTCAGGATCATCTCCCTGAAATTTCATTCTCTAAACTGAATTAGGTAACCTACGAAAGAACTCTCATGCTGAGGGGCATGGGAAGATTTATCAAGTCCTCTTCACTGGTTGACCAGCTTGGTGAAATCTTCAAGCAGAATAATGCAGCCCTTCTTACTTTATAATATAGACTAAGAAGGTTTAATTACAAATTGTCGTTTATGAGTTGGTGGGATGTAAGGGACAACCTACTTGTTTAGAGCCTGTATGCTCTAAAATAAAAGTCAGTGCAAAAAGTTCAAAAAGCAATCTTGTAAGAAAACAGTAGATTTATGTGTAACAAAACTGGTAACACCAATTATAGTACAAAGTGGTTAATACAGATTAAAATAAAGATTTCTGCCTCTACAACTACAGCATTATTTCTATAACTCTTTCACCCCACCAGCACCACCACCATGGTCAAATTGAACAATGATCTAGTGTACAGTCACATAGCATAATGCTGAAGAGTTGCATTCCAATTGGAAGTGAACACCCTCTCTTCTGGATTAATGGCTGTTGTTAGCAGCCATCATACAAACCAGTGGAGATGTCAGGGTGCAAGAAATTATGCACACTAGAGTTCGAGCTTGAAATGTTTGGGTTTCTCTGTGACACGGGAAGGCAAATTATTCCTGAGCTCTGTCTTAACTTTTGACTTTCTCCTTAGGTTTCCTTTCATATTGAAGCCAGATTCAAGTAAATTTTCCCTTCCAATTGCAAGCCACCCACTGTTCTGGTGCAATGATTCTATAATTTTGTGAACTTTTTATTGACAAAAATACAAATAACTATTAAGAAGAATGGTCATTGTATGTTTGGTACAATCATAATACAGCCATAGTGAACAGGTCAGCCAACAGCTAAAGAGCTACTTCAG